GCTGCCCTGACATTCCCTTTCTTCCCCTCCCCCACAGACCTGCATGCCCAACTGCTGAAACACACAAAATATGACATTGTGTGTGCCCTCTGTGCATTGTCTCAAACTCAACATGACTTCAGCTCCTTCGTAGTGGACATATTTTTCCAGATGGTGAGCACCTGCTCCTCCCTTGGTGGGTAGGGGGACAAGAAGCCACAGGCGGGGAAGAGGATGAGCAGTTACTGAATACCTGGGCTCTTCCCTATCAGGAAACAATGCTCTGCGTGTCTGTCAGTGGGCTGTTCAAGAAAGGTGAGTGTGTGTAGCCCCCTCCCACCAGATGTCCCACTGTTCACTCACCTGGTCAGGCTCCCCCTCACCAGAACCCTTCCTTCCAACTTCCCTCCCCTCCCCTCCCCTCCCCTCCCCTCCGCTCCCCTCCAGTCCTCAGTTTCCCCACAGACAACCCAGGTCTGAACTGCATCCATATCTGCCCTGCCCACCTTTGGCACTAGGGACACAGGCTGTTGAGTTTCGTGGCTCCCATACAAGATCCTTACACTGAGAACTTTGGCCAATACTTAATATTGCAATTTCCCCATACACTCGCCTCTTGGGCAGCTGAGAAAAATGCATCCCATGAACTTGTGAAGTGGTTGTCATGGGGACATGTCACTGGGAGCAGACTGCTCCTATAGTTGCCCTCCCCATTCCTGACACCCAGGCTCCCCAAGTGAACAACTGTCCTCTCTGCATGAATGTCAATTCAGACCCTGACTGAGGGCCACCATGGGAGCCTGTAAACATGTGGAGCACTAAGGGGTACTCTTGTTTATTGTATGTTGTTGAAGTGGAAGGAAGATCTCAAAGCTGTGTGTGTGCCTTCACCAGTAGCGCTCCCCTCTTCATCAGTGGAAGGCTTCCTGTGGTGGACATCTCCACTTCAAGGAAAAGACTTTCTCCAAGTCTGTGAATACCTTCGACAACAACAATCATATGTGATGCCTCTTCTTAATCTGATGACATCTGACAATCCTAAAATGCAGTGGTGCAACAATTTGTACCTTAACTATGGACATAATGTGGCTTTTAACTTTGCTAATCATTCTGTTTTTCCTGTTTACTCCCTGCGTCTGTAACTGTGTAGCTGGATTTGTTTCTAGTCACATGAAGGCTTTTAAGTTACAGATGATTGCTCAAACTCCTGCGAATGCCACAGCTTCCTTCAACTACTACTTGGGGCCCCTGCTTCAGAGACCATCAATATGAGAGTTAGGAGAATATATTGTCTCACCAGTGTAGGGACAATGCCCCTTATCAGCTTGGAAGCAGTTATGGAACAAGAATGACACCCCTTTCCCTAGGCAACACAATTCTCCTAAAAGAAAAGGGGGGAATGAGAGTGTAACAGGCAGGAAGGCCAGGGGTCTCCAAAGGGAGGAAATAGGCTGCAAGTGTCAGAGAATTTTTTATCTCTCTCTTAAGAGGCAGGAGGAAACAAACAAGTGTTAGAATTTTTTCCCCTTCTCTATACAAATTTAAAAAGAGGTTCCTCTTAAAATTCTGTGTTGCCATAACAACACCTGGTTCCACCTGAATTTAAATTTTCTCAAACCTTGAGCTAACCAATGAGTTTTTCTTAAAGAATAGCTTGTCTGAAGCTATGTTAATATACTATGTATTTATTACCCTAGGCTCTGTCTTCAAGTCAGTTCCTCCTAAGACTCAGAACTCGACAAACCAGTGTTTTACTCCTACATTGTTCTCCTAATCTATGTTAATGAAACTATATATTTGCTCAGAAATCTGCCTTTCTTCAAGATTCATGTCAATCATTTTATGGACCAGGATGACTCTGGTGGTGCCAGTTGTTATCTCAAAATGCACGTTGTGGGTGAGGGGCCTGGTGCCATTCTGAGTTTTGAGACATTTCCTTTCTCTAATTAGCAGACTGCTAGTAGCTACATAATATCTGGCTAAAGACTAGCGGGGGTGGGGGGCATTCTTTCTGCCCCCTTCTGATGTCAGAAGCTTTCTCTGTCTCTTTTTTTTTTCCATTTATTTTTATTAGCTGGAGGCTAATTACTTTACAATATTGTAGTGGTTTTTGTCATACATTGACATGAATCAGCCATGGATTTACATGTATTCCCCATCCCGATCCCCCCTCCCACCTCCCTCTCTACCCGATCACTCTGGGTCTTCCCAGTGCACCAGGCCCGAGCACTTGTCGCATGCACCCAACCTGGGCTGGTGATCTGTTTCACCATAGATAATGTACATGTTTTGATGCTGTTCTCTCAAAACATCCCACCCTCGCCTTCTCCCACAGAGTCCAAAAGTCTGTTCTATACATCTGTGTCTCTTTTTCTGTTTTGCATATAGGGTTATCATCACCATCTTTCTAAATTCCATATATATGTGTTAGTATACTGTAATGGTCTTTATCTTTCTGGCTTACTTCACTCTGTATAATGGGTTCCAGTTTCATCCATCTCATTAGAACTGATTCAAATGAATTCTTTTTAATGGCTGAGTAATATTCCATGGTGTATATGTACCACAGCTTCCTTATCCATTTGTCTGCTGATGGGCATCTAGGTTGCTTCCATGTCCTGGCTATTATAAACAGTGCTGCGATGAACATTGGGGTGCACATGTCTCTTTCAGATCTGGTTTCCTCAGTGTGTATGCCCAGGAGTGGTATTGCTGGGTCATATGGCAGTTTTATTTCCAGTTTTTAAGAAATCTCCACACTGTTTTCCATAGCGGCTGTACTAGTTTGCATTCCCACCAACAGTGTTAGAGGGTTCCCTTTTCTCCAACCCTCTCCAGCATTTATTGCTTGTAGACTTTTGGATAGCAGCCATCCTGACTGGCATATAATGGTACCTCATTGTGGTTTTGATTTGCATTTCTCTGATAATGAGTGAGGTTGAGCATCTTTTCATGTGTTTGTTAGCCATCTGTATGTCTTCCTTGGAGAAATGTTCTTTGGCCCATTTTTTGATTGGGTCATTTATTTTTCTGGAGTTGAGCTGGAGGAGTTGCTTGTATATTTTTGAGATTAATCCTTTGTCTGTTGCTTCGTTTGCTATTATTTTCTCCCAATCTGAGGGCTGTCTTTTCACCTTGCTTATAGTTTCCTTTGTTGTGCAAAAGCTTTTAAGTTTCATTAGGTCCCATTTGTTTATGTTTGCTTTTATTTCTAAAATTCTGGGATGTGGGTCATAGAGGATCCTGCTGTGATTTATGTCGGAGAGTGTTTTGCCTATGTTCTCCTCTAGGAGTTTTATAGTTTCTGGTCTTACATTTAGATCTTTAATCCATTTTGAGTTTATTTTTGTGTATGGTGTTAGAAAGTGTTCTAGTTTCATTCTTTTACAGGTGGTTGACCAGTTTTCCCAGCACCACTTGTTAAAGAGGTTGTCTTTTTTCCATTGTATATCCTTGCCTCCTTTGTCGAAGATAAGGGGACCATAGGTTCATGGATTTACCTCTGGGCTTTCTATTCTCTTCCATTGATATATATTTCTGTCTTTGTGCCAGTACCATACTGTCTTGATGACTGTGGCTTTGTAGTAGAGTCTAAAGTCAGGCATGTTGATTCCTCCAGTTCCATTCTTCTTTCTCAAGATTACTTTGGCTATTCGAGGTTTTTTGTATTTCCATACAAATTGTGAAATTATTTGTTCTAGTTCTGTGAAAAAGCTTTCTCTATCTCTTTTATACTTTAATAAAACTTTATTGCACAAATGCTCTGAGTGATCAAGCCTCATTACTGGCCCCGGATTGAATTCTTCTCCTCTAGAGGCCAATAATTCTGGCATCTTTCATGGTTCAGCAACAACCTTTCACTAGTGTGCAGGACAACTTTTGAGGACTGGGAAAAATAGAGTATCATTTGCATGCGGAAGCCCTTCAAGGGTCAAGTCTTGAAGGTTCCACAAGGGGACCTTTTCAGATACCCAGAAGCAAAAAGCAGATAGAAGGCAATGGAGGGACAGTTATGATGGCCTTCAGTGGAGATAGAGCTGATCAGAGTGATCAGCTTATAGTGAACAGTGTTGGATTCATGATCTCTGAAGAAGATTTAACTTCAAGACCAGGGGCCAGGCTTGATCACTCAAGAGCTTTTGTATAGCAGAGTTTTAATAAAGTATAAAAAGGGACAGCAAAAACTTCTGACATAGACATCAGAAGGGGGATGAAGAATGGTCCCCCTGCTAGTCTTTAGCCAGAAGCTTTTTGTCTGTTAGAAAGCTGTTATACAGGTAAGAGAGACACCTCAAGGCTGACAGAGTTTCACCTGGCCTCTCTCCCACAATATGCATTTTTGAGATAGGATGACATGAAGTGTGTCATCCCTCAACCATAAAACAATTGATATTAATACTGGTTTGTTGAGCTATTATCAGCCCAAGGTTTGAGAAAAGAAAAAAAAAAGTTAGTCTTAGGTGAAACCATTTTGAAGAAATGCAAATTCCAAAGCAAATACATAGTTTCATTAACATAGATTAAGAAAAACATTTCCATAGAGAGTTTGCTTCCTCCTGCCTCTTAACAGAGAGATAAAAAAAAGTCTGACACTTGCAGCCTATTTCCTCCTTTTGGAGACCCCTGGTCTCCTTGACTGTAACCCTCTCAAGGGCATAGTGCTTCTGCTAGGCACCTCCCTGGCAGCTCCAGGTCACTCCCTCTGCCCATCAGGGCCATTCACTTGGTTCTCCCAGAAGGAAAAATGAAAAGGCTTCCCCTGAAGAAGATTACATGTTCCATATCTTAACTCTGCTTGAGATGGACCTTGTGAAATTTGTGTCCAGGGTGTGGAACCTGAAACTTGCCACAGCAACCAGCGGTAACCTCAACCCTCCCAATATCAAGGGAGGATTTTATTAATTATAATAATAAAAATAATATCAGGGACTTTTTTGTTTTGTTTCAGAATAGTTTTGTTTGTTTGGATATGGTATGTCAACATTCAACAATTACTCTCCTACAGTGACACATAAATCCACTCAATCAGATTCTTCATCCCCCCAGAGCTCATAATCTGTAATGTTATTTTGTGTGTCTGCAGGAACCTGGACATTGGGAAGGTTGAAGTTTCTGCTGGTTGCCACAGCAGGTTTCAGATTCTGCATCCTGGACATAAATTTCACAAGGTCCATCTCAAGCAGGGTTAAGGTATGGAACATATAGTCTTCTTCAGGGAAAGCCTTTTCCTTTTTCCTTCCAGGAGAGCCAAATGAACAGCTCTGATGAGCAGCACGAGCCTGCACATTACTCTCGCCACTCTCTCCTGCCAACTTCACTGTCACGTATATCAGCACAACAAAGGAAAGGCAGAGCAAAGTGATCTCAAGCCAGTTTTGGGCATGTTCTGATAGATTCTGCCAAATTAAAAAGTGCCCTCTGCAGAACACCTTCCCCTGGAGTTCTTCAGTTTTCTCTCTCAGAGAAGTAAAAATTAAGGCATAGACACAGGTAACACCCGTGGATAAGCACAGGAACCATTTGAGGGACCACATGGTGAGCCAAGAGGAAATGACTCCTGGTGTGCTGGTCTGCCCTGGTTCCTGGCGAATGAGGACCAGGCAGGGCTGGGCCCTTGGTAATGTCATAAAGGGCCCCGCCCCAGCTAGAACCATAATATGGCCATTATGATGACTTCAGGGCAGAGGAGAAGGAGGCTTGCAGGGGTCAACTGGGAGTATGGTTTAAAGGGAAATGGGGACATTTCAAGTGGGCAATCGCAAAAGAGGTAGGGAGTAACAAAATGCCATCTCCTTGCCAGTGCATTCTTTCTGAGCCTGGTGCTCATTTGGGAGGGTGGTTCTGTCTTCTATTTTCTTTATTCCATTTATTGAATCCAGACAATGATGAGCAGAGCAGATCCATGGACATGTGCCCCTGTGAAGCAGATAGCCAAGATATTTAAGATATCTAAATAGATATTAAATATTAAATATTTAAAAGATATTTAAAAAAGAGGCCACAAACTAGGAGCCACTGATGTGTTTTGTGTGGACTACACTGCTCCTAAAAATGACTGTGGCCAGTTGCTAGGTTGTGTCTGACTCTTTGAGACCCCATGGACTGTAGTTCATCAGGCTTCTAGGTCCCTGGGATTTTCCAAGCAAAAATACTGGAGTGGGTTACCATTTCCTTCTCTCCAGGCATAGAGGATGTTTTAGGGCAGTGAAACTACTCTCTATGATGTTATGTAAATATATGACACTAAATATTTGTCAAAACCCATGGAACATTGCAGCACAAAAAGTGAATCAATGTATGCATATTTAAAATAAAACATTTTGACATCAAGAATGGAATGAAGAATTTGACTAAAGAATCTAATTATATTACAAATGTATGAAACCACCTCACCAAGATCCCTTGACTTAGGTAACTTTGGAAATGAATGGAGTGTGAAAAACTGAAAGCAAAAGATAAAAGCATTGTAATCTAGTTGATAGTGTTTATGCTCTTGGGGGTACAAGTTAACAATACTAATACTGTTACACAGGCATACTTGAACAGTTAAATAGATGGCATATGAGTATACATACATATATTTCTTGGTCTTGTTAGCTGAAAGGGTCTAAGAGAAATGATACTCCCCAAAAATGAAAGCAACAATGACATAGAAATAAGCGCAGATCTTTGTCCCCAGTACTCTTTTCCAATAAAAGGTACCAGGCTTCTTGGAGAAATTACTCATTGTAGGGCTCAGAGAGGAAACGTAGAAGAGTCTGGGAGATCTTATTGCATCAAAAAGTAAGTGCTTTTCTGTTTATAATAGCCAGGACATGGAAGCAACCTAGATGCCCATCAGCAGACCAATGGATGAGGAAGCTGTGGTACATATACACCATGGAATATTATTCAGCCATTAAAAAGAATTCATTTGAATCAGTTCTAATGAGATGGATGAAACTGGAGCCCATTATACAGAGCGAAGTAAGCCAGAAAGATAAAGACCATTACAGTATACTAACACATATATATGGAATTTAGAAAGATGGTAACGATAACCCTATATGCAAAACAGAAAAAGAGACTCCGATGTATAGAACAGACTTGTGGACTCTGGGAGAAGGCGAGGGTGGGATGTTTTAAGAGAACAGCATCGAAACATGTATATTATCTAGGGTGAAACAGATCACCAGCCCAGGTTGGGTGCATGAGACAAGTGCTCAGGCCTGGTGCACTGGGAAGACCCAGAGGGATCGGGTGGAGAGGGAGGTGGGAGGGGGGACCGGGATGGGGAATACATGTAAATCCATGGCTAATTCATTTCAATGTATGGCAAAAACCACTGCAATGATGTAAAGTAATTAGCCTCCAACTAATAAAAATAAATGAAAAAAAAAAAATTAAAAAAAAAAAAAAAAAAGTAAGTGCTTTAAAAAAAAAAAGCCCCAGAGTAATGGGGTTATGTCAAAGAAGACAGGAATGAGCTTCCAAGAGCCAAAACTATAATAAGATGAGCAACATAATAAATTAAGTAAGTCACCTTTTGGGATTATACCCAAAGTATAAAATGAATATCTATGGGTCCATACTGATTTAAAAAAATGATTGAATACATGTGAGAGAACAGACCAATTTCCCATGCAGAAGAATTTCAGATAATTGACATAGATAATTGTGTTCTCATGGAGGTGGCGTGTAACTCCCTATTCCTTAAGACTTCTTTCCAAAAAGTACAACAATAAGGAGAGGGAGAAAAAGAGTAAAACTGACAGTGGAATAACCTGACAAACATTACTTCAGCCAGGTGCTCAAAGTCAACATTAACAGGTATAAGACATGTTGATTGTATCATGCTATGAAAAGGACACGCCATGTCTGCTGTCTTCCTCCCCCAAAATCCATGAAAGTCGCTCAGTCGTGTCCTACTCTTTGCTACCCCATGGGCTACACTGTCCATGGAATTCTCTAGGCCGGAATACTGGAGTGGGTGGCATTTCCTTTCTCTAGGGGATCTTTCCAACCCAGGGATCGAACCTCGGTCTCCCGCATTGCAGGTGGATTCTTTAAAACCTGAGGCACAAGGGAAGCCCGCCTTCCGCCCCCGCCCCCGACAAAAAAGTCCATAGTCCCAGGCTAATAGGGAAAACATAAGAGAAATTAAAATTGAGGAACATTTTATGAAATACCTGACTAGTACTCCTCAAAACTATTAAGGTCATAAAAAAATAAGGGAAGTCTGGGAAATTCTCATATCCAAGAAGAGTCTAAAGAGACATGGCTACTACAAGCAATATGGGATCTGGATTAGGTTCCTGGCTCAGAAAAAGGACACTAGGTAAAAACTAATAAAACCTTAATAGGAAGAATCTTAGAAATAATGTAGGCACTCTAGTTTATAGCAACATGCATGCTATTTGGGAACTTTCTGATATACGGAAACTATCTTCACTTTTTTGCAAATCTAAAATCATTCTAAAGTTTTTTAAAGTTTATTTATAAAACATAGAGCAATAGAGGCAATGTTAACATTATTTGCTGATACATAATTGTATATCTGGAGACTCCAAAGAAAAACACTCTATAGAGACAGCCTTTCCTATCCATGGGTTTCACATGCTAAGATTCAATGAACCGTGGATTAGAAATGTTTATTAAAAAAAAAAACTCCAGATAGTTCCAAAGATCAAAATTCAAATTTACCATGCGCTGGCAACTATTTACCTGTCATTTATATTGTATTATATATTATACGTAATCTAGAGATGATTCAAAGGATATGTGAGGATGTGTGTAGTTTATATTCAAATCCTAAAGTGCTGTGCTACTTTTTATAAGGGACTAGGGCATCTATCTGTCAGACTCTTTTCGACCCCATGGAATTTTCCAGGCCAGAATACTGGAGTGGGTATTACCCTTTCCCTTCTCCAGGGGGTCTTCCCAACCCAGGACCAAACCCAGGTCTCCCACATTGCAGGCAGATTCTCTACCAGCTGAGCCACAAGGGAAGCCCTGGAATGGGTGAATTTAACTCAGATGACCATTTACTACTGTGGGCAGGAATTCCTTCAAAGAAATGAAGTAGCCATCATGGTCAACAAAAGAGTCCGAAATGCAGTACTTGGATGCAATCTCAAAAACGACAGAATGATCTCTGTTTGCTTCCAAGGCAAACCATTCAATATCACAGTAATCCAAGCCTATGCCCCAACCAGTAATGCTGAAAAGCTGAAGCTGAACAGTTCTATGAAGACCTACAAGACCTTTTAGAACGAACACCCACAAAAGATGTCCTTTTCATTATAGGGGACTGGAATGCAAAAGTAGAAACTCCAGAAACACCTGGAGTAACAGGCAAATTTGGCCTTGGAGTACAGAATGAAGCAGGGCAAAGGCTAATAGAGTTTTGCCAAGAGAACGCACTGGTCATAGCAAACACCCTCTCCCAACAACACAAGAGAAGACTCTACACATGAACATCACCAGATGGTCAACACTGAAATCAGATTGATTATATTCTTTGCAGCCAAAGATGAAGAAGCTCTATAAAGTCAGTAGAAACAGGGAGCTGTCTGTGGCTCAGATCCTTATTGCCAAATCCAGACTTAAATTGAAGAAAGTAGGGAAAACCACTAGACCATTCAGGTATGACCTAACAAATCCCTTATGATTATAGAGTGGAAGTGAGAAATAGATTTAAGGGACTAGATCGGATAGACGGAGTGCCTGATGAACTATGGATGGAGGTTCGTGACATTGTACAGGAGACAGGGATCAAGACCATCCCCATGGAGAAGAAGTGCAAAAAGGCAAAATGGCTGTCTGAGGAGGCCTTACAAATAGCTGTGAAAAGAAGAGAAGCAAAAAGCAAAGGAGAAAAGTAAAGATATTCCCATTTGAATGCAGAGTTCCAAAAAATAGCGAGGAGAGATAAAAAAGCCTTCCTCAGCGATCAATGCAAAGAAATAGAGGAAAACAACAGAATGGGAAAGACTAGAGATCTCTTCAAGAAAATTAGAGATCCAAGGGAATATTTCATTCAAAGATGGACTTGATAAAGGACAGAAATGGTATGGACCTAACAGAAGCAGAAGATATTAAGAAGAGGTGGCAAGACTACACAGAAGAACTGTACAAAAAAGATCTTCACGACCCAGATAATCACGATGGTGTGATCACTCACCTAGAGCCAGACATCCTGGAATGTGAAGTCAAGTGGGGCCTTAGAAAGTATCACTACAAACAAAGCTAGTGGATGTGATGGAATTCCAGTTGAGCTATTTCAAATCCTGAAAGATGATGCTGTGAAAGTGCTGCACTCAATATGCCAGTAAATTTGGAAAACTCAGCAGTGGCCACAGGACTGGAAAGGGTCAGTTTTCATTCCAGTCCCAAAGACTGCTCAAACTACCACACAATTGCACTCATCTCACACGCTAGTAAAGTAATGATCAAAATTCTCCAAGCCAGGCTTTAGCAATACGTGAATTGTGAACTTCCAGATGCTCAAGCTGGTTTTAGAAAAGGCAGAGGAACCAGAGAGCAAATTGCCAACATTTGCTGGATCATTGAAAAAGCAAGAGAGTTCCAGAAAAACATCTATTTCTGCTTTATTGACTATGCCAAAGCCTTTGATTGTGTGGATCACAATAAACTGTGGAAAATTCTGAAAGAG